ATGAAATAAGGGACATGATTTTTCTTCCATGTCGATAAATTCATAATAAAGATACTTGGTTATACATGGTTCAATTGAATCAGAGCAATAATGGGGAGTTTTTAAATAAACATAGGTCATTCCCTGTCTATTGTCACTGTTCTTATCTCTCCTTTTAGCTCATGCATGCGAAGACCTTAACAAAATAGGGACCCTTGTACCACTCAATGAAAGAGATGTTCATTCTGTGTCAGATATGAATGTGTTTCCATATTAAATATTCTTGAAATACAATACAAAGAAAAATCAGTACATAGTCTTGTTTCAAAGATGTTATGGAAAGTGACGTTTCGTTTGGAACTGCTGTTTTGGAAAATCTCATATTTAGCCTAGCATGAGTATCTAATTTAATTTTTCACATCAGCTAGACATGTAGTTACTAATTATGTTCTCACATATTTACTTTTATTACCTATGAGATCCTGGTGAAACCAACAAAAATATTTTGTATAGAGCAAAATGATTATTTCGTTAGTTATTAAAACTGTTTATTTTTGTTCAGCTCACATTATATACCCAAAGTCCGTATCATATACATTCACGAGGTTAGATACAAACCAAAATTTTCTCTTGAAATAAGGTTCAATCGAAGGGTTTCTAAAAAACTTAATTTAATTAATTAAGGATACTGCAAACTAAAATAACATTTGCTATTTTCAAAATATCTGTCTCAACAGAGTTTTATATCGATATCTTGTCAACATTTGTTGTAAAAAATCTAGAAATGCATAATTCCTTAACATATTTAGCTTGGTGGTTTTTAAATTTTTTTGAATGTGCATATGTTACTATTCATCAAAACTAAGCTCAGTACCAGTACCTGTCCGGTTGTTTAACTTTTGTTGAAAAGTTGAGAAAATGAAAATCGAGCGTGTCTCATATTTCCTTGAATCTACAAAACATGCTTATATATATAAAAATGATCACCCTTGGTGTCACAAGTCTTGTACATTTTTATTTTTCAAGTCCTAGCATTTTTTTAAATTCTGACCGCAATCTCCATTTATCTCGAAGTATCTATTCTTTAGACTCGACTTGAAGTACAACAATTTAGTAATTTACATGACATTGACCTCAGAAGTCTTATCATTTGATATTTTCGAATACACACTTTTAAGAGATAAAATAATTTGGACATATTAAACATGTTATAATCTGAATCATTCCAGGTGGACAAAATAATGGATATGAAACAAACATGGCATATCATATATAAATGTAATTTTTGCGTTTATTTATGATTAATTATCTCATATACAGGATGACTTTGAAGTTGAGTCATTAATTTTCAGATAATGATTGTAGAAGGAAGATAAACCAAAATATGTGTGTGAAAATAAAAAAAAAAATAAAAAAAAAATGTTTACCTTGTTTTATAAAGTATCCTCCCGACAAATATTTCAGTGCGGACCTGTATTTAATAATAATAATAATAAATGGCCTTTATTCGTCACACGATTACAAAATAATTGATTTAAAAGGAACAGTGACGAAAAGGTGGAGTGTCAGCTTATGCTGTTTTTCAACCCGACCTGGAAAACATTGACACAAACTATAGAGAGAGAGAGAAAAAAAAACTTAGAATATAACACTTATCAGAGAAAGGAAACAATCAATTACCTGTGGATATGCATAAAGTAAAATTTTAGCCATCCGACTGCTTTAAACTCATCTTTAACCTTTTTTTAAAATTGCTTAGGCTATATTCTTTATACTCACTTGATAAGCAGTTATATAGTTTGGGTGCCCAGTACGAGAAACTGCGTGTGAACAATGCTGTCGAATGCCGCGGGATAAGTAAGATGAGTTTATTCCTAGAGGATCTTTGATCGTACTGGCAGAGGAGGCTTAGTTTTGTATAAAGATAATATGGCGCTTTAAGGATAAGGGTCTTATGTACCAAAGATAGGCAATGCAGTTTCCTCAATTTGTTCATCTTAAACCATCCCGATTGGTCAAAAGCGCTACTAATATGATCAAATTTACGGATTCCATAAGAAAATCTGATGCATGAGTTTTGTATCATCTGAATCCGCTCGGCATCACGTTGTAAAAGAGCAGGTCCATAAACAGAGTCACCGTAAGATAATTTTGACAGGATAAGGGACTCGCAGAGTTTAAGCTTGAGCTGTGTCGACAGGACACTTCGACTCGGGTATAACTGACGAAGCACATTATAGGACGCATTGCATAGTTGGTTAACATGTTTAGTGAAGCGTAGCTTGCAGTCAAACCAGATACCAAGGTTTTTGCATTCGTTTACGAAGGATATGTCTTCATTATTCACCATAATATTAATGCGATATTGATTTATTTCACGATTCCTTTTGGGCCCAAATAAAATGCAGCATGATTTGCCAGGATTTAGTTTTAGATTGTGAGCACTAGATATGTCAAAAATAGACTGCAGGTCTTGATTTATTTGATGTTGGCCAAGCATATATTCATCAGGATCGAAGCAGTTATAAAGTTGGGTATCATCGGCGTAATGATGAACGATTGAGTTGCTGGCGATTGGGAAACCGATCCGCATAAACATGTGCCATTTTTTATTTCCTTTGAGTCACGCAACATACACCACTATTCACTGACACTGACTGTATACAAATGAATAAAATAATTGTAAAAACATCGTTCCAAATTCTTTCGCTTTTTTGTTTCCGATGCGATGAACCGATACGGCGGATTATATCCGTTGTCGCCAAACACGAGCACATAATATTATTATTAAGACAGGGCGGTACTCAAACTTCCAAAGGGCTATAACTTTGTTACTTTAATTTTACCAGAAAAATGGTAAAGGAAAAAAACATTTCTTTTGATCAGATCTACTCACTGTTAAAATAAATGACTCAACTTCGAAGTCACCCTGTATACAATAATCTTATCTATCTTTCAGATTAAATAATTTGATAGCTCCCTGTAGGGACTTTCTCAGGGGCAGTATAAACATACGAATGTGCTTACGAATAAATAATGTCTATGGACTAATTGTATTGACTGACTTTTTCTCAGAGTACCTAATTTATGCTGAACATAATTCTTTATGTACTGATAAAGGCGTTGCGTGGGAAGTGCAGAGTCAACGTGTTGACGCCATTTTTTTAACAACGGGAGGAGGCTAATTCTTCTTGGGGCGGCCAAATTATATGTTATGTTTAATAAAACGAATTATTTCCTGATTATTTCTCCAAGAAAATAGCTCTGAAAGACACCACATGCATGTTTCTATTGCTTGAAGTCCTATCAAACTCAACGAACCCGATTTTTGGCAGACTTTCAATCATGCCGTTAGTATTATTTGCTTGCTATCTATCAGCAAGACACGTGTAACTAAACCTAATTATTTTTATATTATTATTCTAAGTGGTAAGAAATGGATAGCACCTATTTAGTAACTACATAATGATGACATATATTTAGAATTGATAAATTACGTAGATAAATTTTAATTGTCTCACATTTTCATACATGCATATATAGTTCAAAAAAACTTATTTTGCACTTTGAAGCGACAACAGAGTTGCAGTTCAATTAAAAAAAGTAAATAAATCAGGTACCTATTTATATCTAAGTAATTACGTATTTAATATGGTAATAAGTTGGGATTTCTCATTGAATTTGAACTTATGTAATTAAATATAATACATATAAATAAATAATGGAAAAATTAACTTAATAGAATATTATAAGTCTTCTTGCACTCTTTATTAACATGTTGGATAGCATTCACGTACTCAAGGTTGGTTTTATCCATTTAAAATAAATTTTTATCAAATTTGGGCAGTAAAAAAGTCGGAATAGCGGGATATCTTCAACATTTTTACAACAAATCTGCCCTTGCGCCTACTTCAGTATGACAAATATGACTTACAAAATTCTATGTGACTCTATTAATGAACCAATTACGAGAGCTTAATTGATAAAATTCAAGTAATTGATCCAATTGCCAGTATTCGTACATTGTAATACAATGGATATACCGCTGGTTTCAAATTCGATACGAAATTGGTTGAATAGGGGCAAAGTTGCGCATTCAAGTAAGTAATAACTAAGAAAGTGATACTTGGAAAGTTCCATAATTCCAAGTATTTTCCGAAGATATACGAAAGACATCGAGTTTTCCCAAAATAGTTTTGATTTTTTTCTGACTTCATTTGAGATGGGATTTCAGAATAAAGAGTACATTAACATTGCTACTTTTTCATCTCTGCATTATGGTATAATTAGAATTTTAATGTGAAGTTTCGTTTCTTGTCCTCAATCATCAACTTTATTTTTTCTTATAAGCAGCATATTGGATTTTTGCTTAGGTAAAAATGTATAATATGTCATGCATTTAGCTATTATGACTTCGCCTATCATTCGTTTACTTCTTGACGTCGACTTCTGCACAGATCTTCAGTTCAAATACTAGTCTTAGGTGTCATGTAGATATTTTCCCTCCTGCTAATATAATGCTTGTTATAGTTAACAAGTATTCAATTTATCTGATTTTCCTGTGCACGCGCTTCTAAGAAATTGATGGATTGGCGATTTGGCGATAATCAAATAATGAAGTTTGAGCTATTTTGATTTTTTTCGTTTTTGAACTTTTTCTCCGCCAACTCAGGAGCAATTTTCAAAAACTGCCCCTGACTTAGAAATAATCTTGTGTGAAAATTTCATCAAAATATAAACTGTCCAAGTTATAGACGGGCCAATGATTAGCGGACAGACATACAGACGGACAGACAGATCGACGGAAATGATTGACATGGTTTTTCGTGATGTACATGTCATATAACATCCAAAAAACATATCTCATTTTCACGATTATACAATACTTCCTCGCTAGTGGGAAGTAAAAATTGATGATTAAAAATCAATTATGAGAAAAAATAATCGATTAATTGAATATTTCTTAACATGCCTATATAAGGAACTTTGGACTATCATCTAGACGCGATTTTATTTTCCAGATTAGGGTTCTACGTAGGGAGCCACCCCATAAAAACCATATCAATATGTTGGGCTATCGTGTTCTTGGCCGCTCTGGGATTTCTCAGGTTCCAGCAGGAGAAAAACCCCTTGAAACTCTGGGTTCCTCCTCACACTTCGTTCGTGAGAGACTCAGAATGGCTTATGAAGACTTTGGAGAAGGGGTTTAGAGAAGAGGCGATCATGATCACTGCCGAAGATGTTTTGACGCCAAAAGTTATACAAGAGGTACGTTTTCCATTATAAGTTATATGAATAGTTGAAGCTAACATTTTTTCCCAACTGCTGGCCGAACAACCACACCTAACACGCCTAGTACTACTTTATCACTAAATATTTCATATTTCATTCCTGTCACGCCTCATATGATCAATTTTTTGGACAGTTTTCTAAATTTTTTTCTGATGAAAATTAACATGTTATACGTTATAATATGTTCTTCATAAGAACTATACCGGGTGTTTCAAATTCGATCCTCATAATTGGGATCTCGGAAACGGTAATATATACAAAGTCGCTTAAGTGAGAGCAAAGTTGTCTATTAAGATAACTAACGAAATGCAGTATAGAAAGTTTTGAAATCTAAAGTACTTCCGAAGAGAAACGGAAAAGTCAAAGCTTCCCAAAATCGTTTTAACTTTTTTTGACTTTATTTGTAGCGAGATTTAAAAATAAATTGCACATTAACGTTGCCACTTTTTCTCCTCTCAAGCTGGTATAGCTACAATTTCAATAAGACCTTTCATCTCTTGTCCTCCAGCAACAACTTTATTTTTTCTAATGGACACCATATTGGATTTTTACACAGACGAATAGAGTTTTTAAATCTGACTTGAAAAATATATAATGTCATACATGGGCATTTCCAAACCTTTACTATTTCAAAAACAGTTCCTCAGTAAGCCTTGATGAAATTATCAGATAGTCATGACTTTTGTATACCGAATTTATTGCTAAATCGTTGTTAATTTCTTGGCTTTATTTGAAATCGGAATTTGGAATAGGTTGTATTTTAACATTGATACTCTTTCTCTTATCCAAGAAGGTGTAGTCAAATACCCAATAGGACGTTTCTGCCTTCGATCTCCATCATCAACTTTGTTTTTTCTTATGGACTCCGTATTGAAGTTTTGCGCAATCGAATACAATTTTTGATTCTGCATTTAGTTAAGAATATAGTTTGTTTCTTATTGTTACAATAAATTTCACATACTTAGTTAAAGTAGCATATTCTCAGTAAGTAGTATTTAAATGTACAAAATTCCAATATAGCGTCCATATGAAAAACAAAGTAGATGATGGAATTCGAAAGAAGACACCTCGAATTTAAAATTTGACTAGGCCATCTTATAGAGGAGGAAAGGTGGCAGCGACAACATGTATTTTATTTTAAAATCTCGTCTCAAATAAAGTCAGGAAAAAATAAAAATAATTTTGCCATAAATCTAGTATACGAGACAAATTGTGATAATTTCAAGGCTTATCTAGGAAATTCTGTTTTTTTAATAACTAAGGTTTAGCATTGTAAATGACACGTTACACATTTTTGAAAATTATAAACTCTATTCGTCTGTGCCAAATATAAAAGGGCGTCCATAACAAAAAATACAGTTGATGCTGGAGCGCAATAGTCGAAACGTCATATTGAAATTCTGATTATGCCATCTTGCAGAGGAGAAAAGGTGTCAATGTTAATGTGCTTATTTTAAAATCCCACTACAAGTAAGGCCAGGAAAAAATTAAAACGATTTTGGATAAATTTGCTTTTTTCCGTCTCTCTCCGAATGTAATTTCAATTTAGAAACTTTTTAAACTATATTTCGATAGTTACCTAAATACGCGACTTTGCCCCCATTTAAGTAACTTCGTATCTCTTACCGTTTCCAACATCTCAATTGTGAGGGTAGAATTTGACACACCCGGTATGAGAATATAGTTAGCTTTTTCAAAATATATTTATAATTATTGCGGAGAGGAGAAACATAGCTGTGCTCATAGATAACGCAAGGATTGAATTACTACCATTGATTATCGTATTCTACCTGCTACTACTAAACGGCAGATATCATTCAAGCTGCACAGAAGCATGTGCATTTTTTGTTTCAGAGATTGAATAGATATAAAAGTACTGAAATACTGCATTACCGAAAATAAAACTATTAACCGCTAATGTTCATTGATGCTTTACGGAAAATTCGGTTACGGTGACTTTGTTTGAATGTTGACAAAAAAGTTTTCAGAAATTAGTAACGTAGAATGAATCGTAAGAAAATGAATCCAAAACGACAAAAAACAGATGAAAGAGAAAGGAATGTACTTGTATTGGTTCGTCTAAAAATACTTATTTCATAATAATTATATTATTTCATGTCGTAAGTCGTATGTAACTATGCAAAAATTGACGGACATTAAATGTTTGGACAATGTTCATTTTTTTATTCCTTTCAAGTTGTGGTTACATTAGTCATGCTTAAATAATGTTTGTTGAAGCTGTTATTTATTTTTTTACTTGATATGTAACTATTAAAAATTAAGTTTATGTTCACTACTGTACATGTTTTATACAGGGTGGCGCATCGGAAACGAAACAGACGCATTTACTGGCAGCTCATTTTTTTTTGGAAAAACGCTCAGACCCGTCAATTTTGTTTTCAAGGGGGACACAAGTTTGGCAAAAAATCACGTTAACACGTCCAGCCCCCTGGGCGGGGGTGACACCAACCCTAAGATCTTAAATGGACAGGGGGGTCGAGTGATACCTTATTTTAAAGGTCTTTCAATTCCCTTTACAATGATATAAAATTAATGTACTTCAGTTCAGTAGTTTTGAAGATTTATTGATTTAAAGCTTAAAGTAGGCTTTAATAGGTACATCAGATTAGTTTGTACTACTTTCAGAAGAAATTTGACACTTAATAAGTAAATGCTTTTCTTCACTACGCCCATAGTTTGTTTATCATTTTGTTGTTGAAAATAGCTATTGGAGCGTTTTCTGTGGCAAAAAAGCTATTTCTTGAAGAAAGATAAGGAAATATCTCTTACTTATTTTAAATAGGAATTTAGTACATAGTTTGCGATTGATTTGACCAAGCTTTGTTGCTAAAATAACTTGTAACGTTTTATTACATGAATTAACCATGTTATATTCCACAGCAGAAAGAGTTCGGAAATGATCAGTGCCCTAATAGAACAGCAGAAATATTTAATGAGCGACATGAGAACAGTAACGTGCATCGAAAATATGTTCTAGAACTTGTAGTAAATTTCGGGAAACTGGGTCAGTCGCCAATAAAAAACGCAAGATTGAAAATCCCATAAGGAACGAAGCAATAGATGTGGGGGTTTTAGGGCAAGTTTATGTAGATCCTACGTTAAGTACCCGCAAATTGGAGACTGTGTGTGGTGTTAGTCGACGTACTCTCCAACGGATTCTAAAGGCCCATAGTTTTCATCTGTATAAAATTCACCTGGTACAAGAGCTTAATGAAGACGATTTTGATCGGCGATTAAAATTTTGTGAAGATATGAGTGAACGAATTATAAACGATGAACATTTTCAATTCAACACTTGCTTTTCCGACGAATGTTCCTTTTTCTTAAATGGCGTAGTAAATCGTCATAACTGCCGATATTGGTCCGATTCTAATCCCAGAATTTATCATGAGGTTCATATTCAGCAGCCACAAAAATTAAATATTTGGGCTGGTATTTTTGGCGATCATTTAGTTGGTCCTTTTTTCTTACCTGGAAATTTTACCGGAATGTATTTGGAATTACTGGAAGACGCCATAGATCCTGCATTAACAGCCATAATTGAAAATCAGAATGATCGGCGGTACATTACGAATAGGTTGATGTTCCAACAGGATGGTGCCCCACCACATTACGCATTACGTGTTCGACAATATTTAGATCAGACGTTTCCAGATCGATCGATTGGTAGAAGAGGTGCCATTGAATGGCCCCCAAGATCGCCAGATTTATCACCTTTGGATTTCTTTATGTGGGGTCATTTAAGCAAAATCTATGCTACTCAGCCAACATCATTAGAAGACTTGCGAGAAAGAATTGTGAATGAGTGTCTTCAAGTTACTCCTCAAATATTGCAAAATGTGCGGCAACGTTTTGACCAAAATCTTTATTATTGCATGGAGAGTCAGGGTGGCCATTTTCAACATTTACTTGCCTAACGGGTCAGTTCATTCTTCATTTTTAAATTACTTTGCTGCCAAATGTATTGATCTCCACTAATGATGATGTATTAGTTTTATTTATGCTTTAAATCAATAAATCTTCAAAACTACTAAACTAAAGTACATTAATTTTATATCATTATAAAGGGAATTGAAAGATCTATAAAGTAAGGTATCACTCGACCCCCTTTTCCATTTAAGATTTTGGGGGTGGTGCCACCTCCGCATAGGGGGCTGCACGTGCTAACGTGATTTTTTTTCAAACTTGTGTCCGCCTCGAAAACAAAATCGACGGGTCTGAGTGTTTTTCAAAAAAAACTGAGCTGACAGTAAATGCGTGTTTCATTTTCGATGTGCCACCCTGTATAATTTTTAATGGTCTGTTTAAATGAGATAAAACAAGTCATTTAAATGAAATTAGGTATATCAGTTACATACGTTGAAAGTTAGCTCAAAATAAATTGATGACATTTTAATTGCAATTGACGTCTGCCCGCAGCAGAAATGATTTCATAGGTCGAAATACGAAACCGGTTTTTTGCTTGATTTTGTTGTTCACAAACTGCTTAGGTGGAAAAATAACGATTGTTTATTGTATTTGGCATGTTTTGCTTGGTGTTTTCCAATGACGTTTGATCAGCAGTTGTTTACAAATGATGCAGGTATACTAGGACCAGAATAGTAAGATTTCCACTTGCAAACAAGGATGCTTAAACTTAAAAAAAAATACGAAATAATTTCTTGAGGGTAAATAAATTGGTCTTTTTTTATCAAGTGATACAAGAAATGCTGTCGAGTACCTAACTTTTTTTTATTAAACGTCAAAATGGAATAAATTACCCTAATTATTCAAAATACTAAGAAGTATTGGAAGACGTTTTCTACAGCACAGAAGCATTGTATGGAATGACAAAAAAACTCCATAATGAGATTTTATATGCTCTATTTTATGTAGCGGTTAGATTGCTGGTCAGCAGGTCAAAAAATATCATTTTCGTCATAAATTAATAACTAAGAATACATATTGCTATTAGAATGAGAATGAAACAAAGGAAGGCTTGATTACTACAATCTGACAAATTCTCATACATGGAAATGATCATACTAATTTAGATATTTTATGGTCAATAAAATTTATGTTTGTTTATAATACGCAATGCTTAGAAAGTACTTATTTTCGTTGGTGTCAAAGGATAGGGTTCATTGACTTCTACTTCTATTGTTTAGTGTGCAGACATCTCGTGAAGTATTCTGGAGATTTTTTTACAGCATTAAACTGTATAAATATACTGATGATACAAGTGTATAAACGAGAAAAAGTGCTACTAGCTGAATTCCTAGGTGTAACAGGATCCATTCAGAGTGTTGGAAGTTACCCCAAAACACATAGACACACACTATTTATACGCATGGAATATAAATAATTGTTTTATGTTTATGTGCAAATTGTGGACACGAGATATAAATGATTAATCATTTGATAACAATTTGTAGAAATACAAATTTTCATAAAATATAAACACCAACAGTCTTGTTTTGTTTGTTCTTGCACGTACAATGGGAATATTTATCGGAATCACCTTTACCTATTTGGCAAACATTATTACGCCTCAAATCTTATGTTCCTTTGTTGGATTTCCTCCACATTATATCATTATATTCAAAGCTTCTTTTATAACATTCTAACAAAATGGCAAAGGTAACAAAAACGTCCGATGAGCTGGCGACACCGCCATTTCGAACGTCATGCGTCAATTTTCCAGTTTTCGCTTGCATTGTGTGTTGTGCAACGATTTCGAGAAAAATTTCGCTACTGGTAGTCTTCTAGAGCCTAGTAGAGTACAACATATAAATAACCCGTCGGGCACAGCTAATAGATATAGATTCTTTGGCAGCATATTCAGTAATAATTTTCTCACATCACTGATCTTATACTCATCAGGACCAATACACATAATCATCCAGATGCGATCTTGCTACACAACCAACTTTCTTTCTTGCACACCTCAGGGATAAACACTGTAGACTACTCGGCTACTTCGGTGTTGTTCAGCCATTCCTCCATAGATAGACGCTTTTGATGGAGCTCACAGCGATCATAGTGAGCAAACGTGGGATGAACTATTTGCACACTAAAAGCTACCTAGTCCGCAAGATAACATTTTGTCGCATTTTTTGTCTCTTTAAGGTTTTTTATTTTTTATTTTTACATAATCCCCTGCGGTACTGAGGTATTCTTTAACGCAGTTACAATCACTTAAACGGGAAGAAGTTGTGTAGTGAATACAACAACTTCCGGAACTAGCATTTGACACGCCCCCACTCTGTAGGGGGAAATTGTGTATTTTCTACCATACATTTTCAATTGTTATCATTGTTTGAAGCCTTTTTCATGTGTATCTTGCAAAAAACTTATTTAAATGCAAAAAATGGATATTCGAGAACACAATTATTCTTAAAAATACATCAAATTATTATTTCAGGAAATATCTATTTCCATACTGATTTTCACAGGAAATCAAGTAGCCGTTCTAATAGCAAAATATTTTTGTTGCAGTTATCTGAGTTGGACTTCCGAGTTCGATACACAAAAACTCCAAGTAACCTAACACTGGAAAATGTATGTTTTGAGTGAGTACATTTCACAATTCAAATATACTACTGAGATCCTCGACCTTAACGCTCACTTCCATAAATAGATCCAGATTCGATATCTACATAGATGAAGCTATTGTTGAAGTATTATGAGATCTGAATACTACAGAATGTTGTCGGAACAATTGAGGAGCAGATTTATTACGTCATAATAAAAAAAACATACAATATTTCCGAAAATGCTAAGTCTCCAGTGGCGGATCTAAGTTCTATGGGGGTCCGCAGCACAAAGTTTGTAGGGGGGCTCTACTGGCAATGATTGAAGAATGAGAGGGGGGGGGGTTGAGTACTGAAATCATGGTTTTGGATACATAATTTTTCGTTCGTTTCCGTTGTACGGGATGCTTAAACTTTTCTTGATGGGCCGGCTTACATTTCTTTAAAACAGACTGGTATATTTAGATGAGTTTTGATACCCGCAAATGTTTTACCAAAGGTGGCATTAACATACAGGGTGTCCTAGAAGTCAACATCAATCCGAAAACGTGGGATAGACCAAGCCATAATAATTATCCGAAATACATAAAAAAAGTCCCAGTCGTGTAATTTTGAAATTATAGGCTTAAAAAATCGGTATTTGATAACTATTATGACTTGGCCTATCCTCCGCATCCGGCTTGACGTTGCCTTCTAGGATACCCTGTATACAAAAATGTTTTCCAAAGTACGTGCATTAGAGGTTTTTCTGCCAGTTGGTCTCCATGTTTATGTGAAAAACATTGATGCTACGTGAAAACTATCTCTTAGAATTTTCCGTTCAGACGCACTATTATCGAAATTAATTTAATACATCATCTGTTTATATTTATAAAAATAGTAAACGAGCTCACAATTTGCTTAATCAACATGACTAAAAATTTCAGGAGACTCGTAGTGATATACGATATCAAAGACAACCAAGTTTAACAGTATCATAGAAACTAAGAATTTCCTGAACCATGTTTATATCAGCTTTTTTATTTTAAGGTGCAGAATCTGCACTTAAGTTTTCCTGGCAACATTCTATGACATCCTGTATTGCGTTTGTTCCAAAGAAACCTGGTGGTGCTGGAAGCCCCATCGAAAAAGACTCATATCCTAAACGTTTTCTTTTTCTAGGTTACCTAAAATTGACAGAAAGCTCCTTGATTTTATGGAGGATAATAGTACAAAAAAAGATCCCAGTATTCAGATGGATCCTGCTCTGTATTGTAGCTTTGTTGAAGCTATGAAGAAGGAATGTTATACCAGAAGTATTTTAGAGTTATGGAATTTCAATAGAAAGAAGATACGGAGTTTGACCAAAAACGATATTGTCAATCAATTGAACAACTACGATTCAAAGTGAGTTTGAATTGCTTATAGTTTTGTTTTTGTTTTCATAGTATAATTTGGAATTTTTTACTTTCAATGGATATTGCATGATCAAAAGTACTAGGAAGAGTCAAAAATTAATCATAGAAAACTATTAAAGGACTTTGTAGGGCAAACTTTTCGTTTTCGAAGCTGGTTGTAGTAAGTGGTTGAAACTCGGTATATACAGGTAATTTGGGCCTCTGAATTCGACTTTGATGATCAAAACATCCCAGAGTTTCGATTTGTGGTTGAAAATGGATTGTCAATGCACAAATGTTGATTTCATCAAGAAAATTCATCAGATTCGTGATCCGTGTACCAGATTTATCCATGGAATTAATTATGTTTTTTTAAAATTTCTTCATGGTACATGCCTTCTACCGTTTTTTTTTTAATTCGACCGTCACCATTGGGATCCCGGAAACGGTAACTGATACGAAGTTGGTTAAACGGGAATAAAGTTGCTCATTTAAGTAACTAATAAAATTGAACTCGGAAAGGTTCGCAATTCCGAATATTTCCGGAGATAGACGAAAGATACCGATTTTCCTCTAAATAGTTTTTTCCTGACTTTATTTAAGATAGTACTTCAAAATCAAAAATACGTTAAAATTGTCACTTTTTCTCCCCTTCAAGACGGCGTAATTAGAATTTCAATGTGAAGTTTCGTCTCTTGTGCTCAATCAAGAGAAAAAAAAGATAATTTTAAAAACATACATTCACTTTGTCACACCAAGATTATTATAATAATATAAAATAATAAAAAAAATATTTTCATAGTTGGCTTTGAAAATGACAGTGTATCACATATTTATCTGATAAAATTTTTGAGAAGCGCGTTTAAAGGCAGCTACATCATCCAGGCTTTTATTTGCTACAAAATGTTTCCATCAGTTCCATCCATTACATACCGTTTCAATAGGACCCTTAAGTAACATAAAAAGTTTTAGCATCAAGTCCTTTATTCGATAAGTTAGGACGAACTATACAAATATTTTTTTTAGACATTTCACCTATACTCAGTTCATGAAAAACTGAAGCATGATATGAAACTAATTGTCTGATAATTTCAAGGCATACTTGGGAAATCCTATTCTTTGATAACTAAGGTTTAAAATGTCAATGTATGACTATGTATCTTCAGAATCAGACTTAAAAATCCTATCCGCCAGTACAAAAATCCAATATGGCGTTTATAAGGAAAATAAAGTTAAATATTAAGAACAAAAGACGAAAGTTCATATTGAAATTCTAATTATCCTATCTTGTACCTGTATATGAGAAAAAGTGGCAATATTAATGTTCTTTTCATTTTTGTCCCACCAAAAATAATGACAGGAAAAAAAATAGAAACGATTATTTATTTTTTTCATCTATCTTCGAAAACACTCGGAAAGTGCCATTTTCTTAGTTACCTAATGGCCCAACTTTGCCCCCGTAGCTCTTACCGTTTCCGAGATCGCAATGGTAAGAGTGGAATTTGAAACACCCGGTATATTCTTTCAAGTTTCTCTATATAAAATTTTAATTTTTATCCCCCACTCCTGCAGGGTGTCTATACCTGACACACTTTAGATAATTTGTGGCACTGAAATCAAGTATGTACTGGGTAGACCGATAATAAAGGACAGCTCAACCTAGAGCTGTCGGTTAAAAAAACTTATAACAAAAGTGACTCAGAGAGAATAATTTTCAGCCGCCATTATATTTTGAAAATATTCATAAATAACATACTCATTAAATATTCTTACCATGTTGACTGCTGAATTTTCGTACCTTTTTGCTTATGTCATTTGTTCATATTTTAGTTAGTTTAGGAAGGGCGAAAGGGGGTGAGTGTCATTTCACAAAAAGTCACGTGGCTTCTATATATTTGGCTGCACCGATTTTAATGATCTTGGTTTCATTTAAAAGAGCATTTACCGGTAGGTATATCCAAAAACTCTGAAGAGTCATGAAATCAAAGGGAATTGGAAATGAGTCTTCTGCGACACTTTGGCCTGAAGTATTCAACACCGACTTATGTCTATCATGTAGGCAATTCATTTTTTATTTTCTACTCATTCATAATGATGTCTTTCAGCTACTTTGGAAAATTAAAAGATATAAATGGCCTACTAGGTGGAATTACCCGAAATGAAACAGGCCACATAATTTCGGCCACAGCAATTCAGAACTTTTGGTATCTAACGATAAACTTTTCTGCTGTTGATATGGACAAATCTGGAAATATGGCTGGAACCGCTGATTGGGTATGCTAGAGATACTTCAGATAACTTGCTAGAAATAGATAATCAAGCAGAAGCAAAAAAATATGTTTAATCTCCTTTCTTAACTTTCACGTCCCGCTATAAATTAACCGTTGTAACTTTTGTGTATGACCGTTTAGAAAAAAAAATTAGAAAAGGTATAGGATCTAACCAAAATTATTCAAGTTATTTTTTATGTACAGGTTATGTGAGAGAAGTGCTATCGAATAAAGTTGTGTTTTTGCTTGCTACTCGATTGGAGTGGAAGTTATAGTTAAGTTATATGACATACGAGTACATATTCATCACAAAATACCACGTCACTCATTTCCTTCGGTCTGTCTGTCTGTCCGCTTATTCGTGGCCCATCTATAACTTGAGAAGAACCGCTCGGATTTAGATGAAATTTTCACCCAGGTTTAGCACTATGTCAAGGACGAGAAAGCTTTGTACTTTTTGAAAATTGGTCTCCGGTGGTGGCAAAGCGCCATGCAAAAAGCACGAATTAAAAATTGCTCAAATTTCGATTTATGACGTTTCGGAAGATCCTGATCATGTTTAAAAAAAAATTGCAGGTGTTAAAATTCGCTGTTGGGGGGGGGGGGGACATTATACATAATTTAACGTTTTCAATGCCGATAATTTTACGCACCTATATATTAGACATAGATTTCCCAGTTAAAACTTAAATGATAAATGAATGAAAATACTGAGGGATAACTGATAAACGAATACACTGAGCGATTATGCGTGTATACAGGGTGTTTCAAATTCGACTGTGACCTCGGAAACTGTAAGAGATAAGAAGGGGCAAAGCTGCGTATTCAGGTAATCAACAAAATGCCGCTCAGAGAGTTTCAGAAACCAAAGTTCTTCCGGAGAGGGACAGGAAAAACCGAATTTTCCAAAACTCGTTTTCATTTTTTTGACTTTACTTGGGATTTAAAAATAAATTGCACATTATCACTGCCACCACTTTTCCTCCTCTATAAGAAGGCATCATTATCATCAATATGAGTTTCGTCTCTTGTCCTCCAGTAACTTTATTTTTTCTTATGGACGACATATTGGATATTTGCACAGGTAAATAGGCCTTTTAATTCTGATTCAGAAAATGTATAATAATAATAATAAGTTTATTAACGTAACATACAAATATAACTAAAACTAACATAGGTATACGCAAACTGAATTTACCCACAGAAGAATAAATTCTTGTGCGTGGGTATTCACTTACATTTTACACAAATATAGACATATATACACATACACACATTATATATATATATATATATACAGGGTGGCGCATCGAAAACGAAACAGACGCATTTACTGGTAGCTCAGTTTTTTTTTGAAATACGCTCAGACCCGTCGATTTTGTTTTCGAGGGGGAAACAAGTTTGGCAAAAAATCACGTTAACACGCGCAGCCGCCTGGGCGGGGGTGACACCAACCCTAAAATCTTAAATGGAAAGGGGGGTCGAGTGATACCTTATTTTAAAGGTCTTTCAATTCCCTTTATAATGATGTAAAATACATGAGGTTCAGTTCAGTAGTTTTGAAGATTTATTGATTTAAAGCTTAAAGTAGACTTTAATAGGTACATCAGATTAGTTTGTACTACTTTCAGAAAAAAAAAAATGTCTAATAGAATTTACTTAATAAGTAAATGCTTTTCTTCTCTACGCCCATGGTTTGTTTATCATTTTGTTGTTGAAAATAGCTATTGGAGCGTTTTTTTTTGTGGCAAAAAAGTTATTTCTTGAAGAAAGATAAGGAAATATCTCGTACTTATTTTAAATAGGAATTTAGTACATAGTTTGCGATTGATTTGACCAAACTTTGTTGCCAAAATAACTTGTAACGCTTTATTACATAAATTAACCATGGTATATTCCACAGCAGAAAGAGTTGAAATTATCGAAATATTTTTCGGAAATAATCAGAACAGCAGAAATATTTAATGGGCGACATGAGAACAGTAACGTGCATCGAAAATATGTTCTAGAACTTGTAGCAAAATTTCGGCAAACTGGGTCAGTCGCCAATAAAAAACCCAACATTGAAAATCCCATAAGGGGCGAAGCAATAGAAGTGGGGGTTTTAGGGCAAGTTTATGTTGATGCTACGTTAAGTATCCCCAAATTGGAGACTGTGTGTGGTGTTAGTCGACGTACTCTCCAACCGATTCTAAAGGCCCATAGTTTTCATCCGTATAAAATTCACCTGGTGCAAGAACTTAATGAAGACGATTTTGATCGGCGATTACAATTTTGTGAAGATATGAGTGAACGAATTAGGAACGATGAACATTTTCTATTCAACACTTGCTTTTCCGACGAATGTTCCTTTTTCTTAAATGGCGTAGTAAATCGTAATAACTGCCAATATTGGTCCGATTCTAATCCCAGAATTTATCACGAGGTTCATACACATCAGCCACAAAAATTAAATGTTTGGGCTGGTATTTTTGGCGATCATTTAGTTGATCCTTTTTTCTTACCTGGAAATTTGACCGGTGAAATGTATTTGGAATTACTGGAAGACACCATAGATCCTGCATAGATCGGCGGTACATTGCGAATATGTTGATGTTCCAACAGGATGGTGCCCCACCACATTACGCATTACGTATTGATTTTTAAATTACTTTGCTGCCAAATGTATCGATCTCCACTAATGATGATGTATTAGTTTTATTTAGACTTTAAATCAATAAATCTTCAAAACTACTTAACTGAAGTACATTAATTTTATATCATTACAAGGGAATTGAAAGACCTTTAAAATAAGGTATTACTCGACCCCCTTTTCCATTTAAGATTTTGGGGGTGGTGTCACCCCCGCTTAGGGGACTGCACGTGCTGACGTGATTTTTTGCCAAACTTGTGTCCCCCTCGAAAACAAAATCGACGGGTCTGAGCGTTTTTCAAAAAAAAAAACTGAGCTGCCAGTAAATGCTTTTGTTTCGTTTTCGATGCGCCACCCTGTATATATATATGTATACACATATATTCATATAAATAAACACATAAATAGATGCACATACACATACATACACACACACACACACACATACACCTATACACATACCGATACACACATACACACCTGTACATACAAATATACATACACACGTATATATGAACGTTGGAGGTTTTTTACTACTAGATTAATTTTAAATTTCTTTCATACGTATCATGTTTGCAATTTGTTGTCGATTTTTTTCGATTATAAATTTTTTGGTTTCAATTTTGAATTTTGTTTAATACAATGACATTGACAAATCTTAAATATTTAAAAAAAATAAGAGTTTCCTGTGTGTGCCCTTTAATTATCAGATAGTCATTTGTTTCGCATATCAGATTTAACCCAAAATAACTTCATTTTTTTCTGACTTTATTTAAGATAAGATTTTAAAATGAATTGCATCTTGTGATTGTTATTTATTCTTCTCTACAAGATGACGTAGACAAATTTATAATTCGACATTTCTTGTTTCGACTTCCACCACCAACTTTGTTTGTTCATAATGGATTCTATATTGGAATTTTGTACAATTAAATGGACTCTTCAGTGAAGATTTCCTTAGTTGGCCACGAATTTATTGATGATGGTAATAACAATAATATCATCATTATCATCATCATAAATCATAAATAAGCGGAAATAAATCATAGCAGATGTTCAAAATGTTGTCCCTTATTTTGTAGCCAAACACTGATTCTTCTCTGTATATTGTCCACTGCTCGATTTATTTCTCTTCTGTCTGTCTTCTAAACTCTGATTCTATGTTCAATTTGAGGTCTGGTCGGGTATACCGAACAAATGAAACCTGATATTTTCCAGGACTACCTAGAAACTTCTGTTTTTCTGGAATCATTGAGGTTGGACAATGTCTATGACATATCATACATTTTTGAAATTAGAATTAAGAACTCTACTCAACTGCGCAAAATTAAATATGGCGTCGATAATCAGGAAAAAATTAAAACAATTTCCTTTATCCTGAAGTACTTTCTAAGCGGCATTTTGTTGAATACCTAAATACGCAACTTTAACCCCATTTAAGCGGACTTCGTATCCCCTACCGTTTCCGAGATCCTAATGGTGAGGCTCGAATTTGAAACACCCTGTATATCCGTGTCAGCATCACGATGCTGCGTTGGCACGTTGCTGGGAAGTCGGTACTGTTGGTAGAGCGGTTTTGTATGGAGCCTATTTGACTGACATGATCCATTTAATTCCTTGATCATACATGTTCGTATCCATCTTTTTTTAAGAGAAATTAACTTGTGCCAAATATAATCCTTTATGAATTGGTGACAGCGTTGCGTAGGAAGTGCTGTTAACTTACATTTACACTTTTTTAAATGGAAAAACTGAAATGTTGTGTGTCGGTTATTGACAAGTATATATTTTATACTATCGGATTCCATATGCGGCGAGATTCAAATTGGTTTGAACTCGGTTTTACATAAACAAATAATATACAAAATTTAAGTTTTTGACCAAACTAATGAAAGTAAGTACTATAAATCGTAGATATTTGGAATCACTAAAATATGCACGGTGTTGCATTTAATAATATCGGTAGCACTTTTTCAAGAGACCCTGTTTATACTTCATGGAAAACTATATTAGACCCTGTATAAAACTCCACGTTACTACTGAACGGTCAGACAAAGAAGTTAGAGGACATCAAATTATAGTGTACAATCAGTTAATTCCTAGAAAACCACTCGCCTTGAATCACATACTAGTGTAATCATATACTATGTGACATATACATCCGAACACCCAGTTTAAATGGTTTTATTTTAATAAAATTTTGTATAAGTACTTAATGAAGCATAATAAGTAAATGATAAAACTTTCAAAATGATTGCACTGCTTTAAAGCCCTTTGACCTTGAATAATGTGTGGATGCACCCTGATGTGCTACGCATTCTCCAACGCGCCTAGGCATAGGCATGCTTCTGATCAGGTGGTCAATGTCCTCCTGTGGTGTCTCACTCCAGGCAACCACCAACTCCTCTCGAAGTGCTTCTAGAGTCTGAGGAGGACGTTGCAAATTGAGCAATCTCTTACCCATCATATCCCACACGTGCTCAATTGGGGATAAGTCGGGAGATCTTGGTGGCCATGGTAACAATGTGACATCATTATGTTGAAAGAAGCCTATTGTGACTCTTGCAACATGTGGTCGGGCATTATCTTGTTGGAAAGTTGGATCTGCCAGGGTGTCAAGATAGGGTAAAAGATGGGGTTCTAGAACTTCGTGGATATAACGCTGCGCGTTCATGTTACCTCTGATGAAGATTAAAGGTGACCTGGAACCATAAGCTATAGCACCCCAAACCATAACTCCAACAGTGTGATGAACATGTCTATCAACAACAAACTGTGGATTCCTCCTTTCCCCACGTCGCCTTCTAACCCTGGCACGACCATCGTGCATGCCTAAACAAAATCGAGGCTCGTCACTAAAGACAATACTGTTCCATTCCTGATCCCAGAGTGACCGTTGTCTGCACCACTCAAGGCGATTACGTCGGTATTCTTGAGTTAAAGGGAGGACCCCTTGTGGCCGGTATGAAAACAAGCCAAAACTTCTCATTCGTCGGTAAACACTTCGCATGCCAATAGGTCTTCCGTGTTCTGCAAACCATTCATTTGTAATGGACCTGGTAGTGGAGAAACGGTCCCTTAAGGTCAATAATCTTAGGCGGCGATCTTCACGGTCTGTTGTTCTACGGCGGCGTCCAGTGCCCCTTGCTCTTTGCGTACGGCCTTCTCGAACCATGCCTGACAACACCTAACCACAGTGTCTACATTTCTTTGCACTCTAACTGCAATTGCCCGAAAAGAAAGTCCAGCTTCCCGAAGTCCCACTATACGGCCCCTATCAAACTCACTAAGTTGACGAAATCGTACAGGTCTCCGTACTCTAGGCATCGTAACCGATCGTAAAGGATGTCAAGAACCAAAATCCGCTAACGTTGATTCTTTACTGCGGCTGAAATATTCATTTTTAGAGCGTTAGTGAATTAAAAAAAAGCAGTATAAAAACCGGAATGTCCAACTGATAAGGCTCAAAATTTTTTCACTTGTTATTTACAGTAAGATAAATACATTCACCAACTTTTATTAAAATAAAACCATTTAAACATGTGTGTTCGGATTTATATGACACTTAGTATATTACCACTCGTTTGCGAAATAATTGTAAAGTCTGGTTTTATTGATGCAAGTTGTTCAAGAAGGTATTCAAAATATGGACGCATAAAATGGGTACACCAATTTTTGTAGAAAAACTTTTTATTCGAGAACAAATAATGAGAAAAACCGTTTTTTGGGATTCAATCGACAGGAACGAAAAAACTATTCAAATATGATTTTTAGGTATTTATAAGACCTAAGTAAAAATATATCACTAATAGAAAAAAGTTATGGCCGAAAACCGAAGCAAAATGCAGGTTTCGGTACTTGTTGCTAATGCGACGATAATTTAACACAGCTACTTGAAATTCTTCAAATCCGTAGGCTTCCTAATTCTGAATAAACACAACAAAATTGGAGTCGATTGGCCAAGTAGTTTTTGAGAATTTCTAATTGTTTATCCCAAAACACGGCATCACTACTAGTTTATTGAGCAATATACTGGGTTCAATGGGCATTTTATAGGAAAATTCACGAATTTACCTTGCCGACGTGAATCACAAGCCATTCCGAAAGAGAATTGTTATTTTTATGCGAAAAACGAAGGGTTACGTTTTTTCTCTTCTAAACAAATTCAAACATTTCGTATATGTGAGTAACTGAACAGATTCGCTACGATATTCCAAAAACATACCTTATTATAGACATTTTAAAATAAAGCGGATGTGTCGATCACGGAGAAAGCATTTTTTTCAATATTTCTCCAAATTAAAAAAATAGAGAAAAAAGGAGCTTCGTGGATTCGAACCTACGTCCTGCGGTTCTGCAATCGTCAATTCATCCCATTATGTTACGACGTCTCTAGGTCTAGTGGATCCTTATACCACTATACTTGATACTGACAAATGTCAAGCGAATGTTGTAGGTATATAAAATCTATTATAAACAATTACAGTACTCTTGAAAACTATACAAGATACAATGCTGAATCTTTAAATAATGTATTACAGCATTTTGCCTATTTTTTTTAGACTGCCAGTTCGCTACAATTGGTTGATATTTGTCTACTGTTTTTTAGTTTTCTCGAGTTTATTTTCCAACATTTTTAACTCGCAGTCGTTTTAATCGAAGGGGATTTCGAAAACAGACGTATACTATATTAATACTAATAGAAAAAAGTATAGGATATTTCTTCGTAAAGAAACTGGATTAAGTGACCTACTTATTTTGCAAAGTCATGCAGTCATCAATAATGCAGCCATTTAGCACATGCTACATACTAACTAGTCTGAGACAGTTTGAAAAATAATTGTGTCTTCAGTTTGCGTGCTAACTTTATAAACAGTTCACCGCATTTCAGTATGGAATATTTTTTTTATAAACTTTAAGGCTCATAATGTGACCGTGTAAAATATGCTCTAAATATCTATACACAAGATTATGGAGAAATCTTGAAAAAAAATTGTTATCTTCGTATCAAAAGATGACAGACACATCCGCTTTGTTTTAAAATGTATATAATAACGGATATGTTTCGAATATATTAGCGAATCTATTCAGTTACTCAAATATACGAAATGTTTGAATTTGTTTAGAAGAAAAAAAAACGCAACCTTTCGTTTTTCGCATAAAAATAGCAATTATCTTTCGAAATGGTTTGTGATTTACGACGGCAAGGCAAGTTCGTGTATTTTGCTATAAAATGCACTTTGAACGAACCCTGTATTTTGCTCAGTAAACTAGTAGTGATGGCCGGAAAACAGGTGTTTTGAAATAAACAATTAAAAATTCCCAAAAGCTACTTGACCAATCGACTCCAATTTTGTTGTGGTTATTTTGAAGTATGAATCCTGTGTATTTGAAGAGTTTCAAGTAGCTGCGTGAAATTATCGTCGCATTGACAACAAGTGCCAAAACCTGCATTTTGCCTCGGTTTTCGGCCATAACTTTTTTACTATTAGTCGGATATTTTTACGTGTAGTCTCATTTTATAGGTATCATAAATACCTAAAAATCTTATTTGTAGAGCTTTTTCGTTTCTGCCAACACTTTCAATCGAATCCCAAAAAACACGTTTTCTCATTTTTGTTGTTGAATAAAAAGTTTTCCCACAAAAATAGGTATACCCATTTTATGCGTCCATATTTTAAATACCTTCTCGAACAACTTGCATCAATAAAACCTGACTTTACAATTATTTCAGGGAAATTTGCTAATATGATTAGACTATACAGTTGATCTTAGATTGTTTAAAAATATGGATTTCTTTTTCATTTTATAGGCATCAGAGGAGGCCCTGGAATGGGAAAAGACGTTCCTAAAAATTATGGAAAATGTTTCGTTACTTTATAATAATAGCTTTTTCTATGAGTCTGGAAGAAGGTATGGCCGGTATTATTTTTGATCACGTAGGCTGAGCTTAAGTCATATATCAATCACTATTTCTTGTAGTTTTGGTGATATTAGTAATGCAACAATGTTCCAAGATATGGATAAACTATGTCTAGGAGTGATTATAATGGTGCTATACGTACAGTTAGTGATATCCAAATACAACTGGTTAGAAGCAAGGGTGAGTAAAACCATTATCCTATCTAAATCTAGGTAACAATCTAAAATCACATACGAGTACATGGCAATCAGCCTCTAGGTGTGGTCGTTTGTTCGTGCAAGGTCACAGACATACATTTTTTAGTTTCTCTCATCATCGTATGAATCTTCGACATTTAAGCTTGTCACTGTCACTATAACAACTTGCTTGTCATGGATATGCGATTTGAGGTTACCTTTTGTTGATCTTCTATACCCTATTTCATGAGCATCCATCACTTTAGAATGACAGCGGGTCATCTTGTAATATCTCAAAAATCCCCATATCGGCACACGACACATAATTCTGACGGATCCGTCAACGCCAGGTAGATAGAGCCGAATTTTGTTTTGTTTTTTGTACGTTACAGATTCATTTTTTACTTGCTAACAGCTCTTTTATTTAGAAAAGTTCTGTTGCATACAAAAAACCAAACGCCACAAACAGTTTTAAATTTATACCTGATCCATTATTGCCAACGTTGTAGTCTAACACAAAAATGTCACTTGCTGATCAGCTGTTCACCGCAGTAGACGTCAAATCGTGATGGATACTCGAGAAATAAGGTAAGTATATATAAAACATGCGAAATGCCTGAAGATTCAAGTACAACGTCGGCGGTCTGTGTTAAAGGACCCTAACAATGTTTCTAAAAATTCAGTATGATATATTTCTTTCCTTCGTAAACAAGAACTCTAATGGGACCAAATCAATCATATGACCAGTTTCTGAGAAATAGGGGACTAACGTTTGATTTGATGAATGTGTGCCTATTGTACTTCTCAGACCAAAAACTCTGAGAATCGATATGCTGGAAGAAATATTTGTAGTGTTGGGAGATGTTATGTTGATATTCAGCATGATCGTTATACAGTCAATTTAAGGTTAAGTTGATACTTTCATCTTAACGCTTGGATAGATTTGTCATGTGTTTTCCGAAAAACCGGAAAGCTCAATAGGAAAGTTTGCTTTTCAATATCACTGAAAGGTCGTGGTCGTTTCCTTGTCTTTGATTATGACCTTTACAAGTCAAATTAATGACATATAAATATCTGAAATTATTAATTAATTAGACAATGGCTTTTATTTATTTATATGTATCTTCCAGAACATAGAGTTCACTTGTGTCAGCCGTTGATATAGACTAATAAGCAGTCTTCTACTACAAGTGCCTCATGTACTCGTATATGGTTCATGAATCCAAAACATCGGGGATAAGCTTCTTCCGCCTGTTTCTCAAAAACAAATCATAGGATTGCTTTGGTCTCATGAGAATTTTTATTCACGAAAGAAAGAAATATATCATAATGAATTTTTAGACAAATCAACTGGAACCCATTTTCCTTATGTTTTGGGCGGGGTCCTCCTTTATTGGGGTATTTTCAGAAAATTAGTGAAGTCAATGATACAACTCATGTATGTGTATGTGCAAGAGTGAGTAGCAATCTCCCTTAGGGAAGTTAAGCTCTGAATGCGGTAAAGTTAATCGGTCTGTTTACTTGTTTCGTATGATATTATGACGTAAGCCAAAAACGGTGAAAAGAACTGTACTCCGGTACATAATGGCTACTGAAAAGCTTGTTCCTATCTGTCGAAAAGAAATCGACAATAATATATGAGTAGAAATTATATCTGAAGCTGCTTAATATAAAAGGATGAGGATACGTCAGAGGTGGTAAGTTTAGTTGAAGGATAACACGTCAAATAATGAGGTGGGATGACAATCAAAGTCCCTTGCGTACCTACTTCATATTATTTAGTATTTCTCTTGCAACTGAGTCTATTAATTCCTGTGTAGCTTCAACTTGACTGCTGATCGCTAGGATATGAAGAAGTTGGTAATAGAATACAATTTCAAAAGGCAGATATACAGGGTGGCCAAACGAGTGACGTCATTAAACTAGGTTCCTCAGGTCGAGAGGTATCCGAATTACCCCCATGTATATGGTCCAATTCTTTTTAGTTTAGGAGTTATGATTTTTTTTTCGGATTTTTCAAGAATTTTCTGGTTTCGTGCTTATTTTGGCTATAACTTCAAAAATAATTGTGATAAATGCCTGATTTTTTCGTTATTATTTAGGTAAAACTTGAGGCTTAACTATCATAAGATGAATTTAGTAAGTAACTAATACTACCTTCTAAAAATTTATATAAAGATTTTTATTAAAAACGTCAAAAATAACAAAAAAGTGAAAAAGTGCAACAACAGAACGCTTTTTAAAAATGGAAAAAACATGTCCTTCCTATGCACAGTTTTTTTTCTGTTTTTACGAATGTCTTGTCCGTAACTAACAATTTCTATTGAACAATTTTTGGTTCGGTTCTATTTGAGCCACAATTAAGGAAACACAGCAAAGTTAGGTCGATGAAATTTTTGTGGTGAATAGCTGATAAAGTAAGAGTATTTTTAAGATACTTATGCACAGGAAGGACATGTTTTTTCCATTTTTTAGAAACCATTCTAAGTTGTTGCACTTTTTCACTTTTTTATGTGCGATGTTTTTAATAAAATATACAATTTAGTTTTAGTTACTTGACTAGATTGATCTTATGATAGTTAAGTTTCAAGTTTTACCTAAATAATAACGAAAAAAGCAGGCATTTATCACAATTATTTTTGAAGTTATGGCTAAAATAAGCACGAAACTCGAAAATTCTCCTAAACTAAAAAGAATCGGACCTTAACGTACTTGGGGTAATTCGGATACCTCTCGACCTGAGGAACCTAATTTTTTTATGACGTCGCTCGTTTCGCCACCCTGTATAACAATATTTTTTGTAGTCACTATTAGTAAAAGATTTGTAAAATAAAATATTGAACGTGAATTAAGTTTGTTTTAGGATCAGTTGGACTTCTAACAATCGGCATGGCGTTTATTGTTGGTGCCGGACTTTGCTCACTATTTGGGTTACGATACGGTCCTGTGCATACATCCTTGCCGTTTTTGCTCATGGGATTGGGTAAGTTGTAAGATCTCAGATCTTCTCAACAGTTCAAACTACTTGATAATTACGCCTGTAGTCAATCAAACCACATACATATATTAAGAATTCTTCTTTCTTTGAAATGTGTACTGAAGGTCATAGTTGGGGTCGTCATGCAATAAAGAAGAATTTTAAGTCCATGTAGTTTGATTGGCCAGATAAAAAAGGGAAATTATCAAGATGACAATCCTGGAATAAGTTTTAGATGTTACATTAGTCAAACTACTTATTTAAATTTTAAGACAAAGAATTCATATAAATATGGGTCCGCAAATTCTTCGTTCTCAGAATTAAAAAAAAATGTTTTTTTGTAAATATTTTAAATATACTTTACCTAATTTTGTTGTAATTTGGCGGTGGTACTTATAACATTGTGGATCTAATTTAAAACTAACTTTATTAAATTTATTAAGTCCAGTGGCGTCTCGAGCAGGATCTGAATGAATATTTATGACAAAAAAATGTACGCCACTGAATTTTGTGCAATTTTTTAAGCAAATACAAATACAACTTTTTGGTCGCTTGAAATTTTTTTTGTATCTTCCTTAAATTTCGAGAAGTGACTAATTATGTGACAACTAAATAACATTAAAATAATTAGTAAAACAAAATTTAAAAAAAATATTCCAAAAGGAAACTTTTCCTCATACACCTTGCGTGACCAAGGTACATGAAATAAGAGACAAACTGGCTCTGTGTGGTTTTGCCGCGTTTGACGCACCGTGGGATTAGGTACTGGGTAAATGCGACGTTGCCAGATGGACGGTACTACGGCTAGGGTAGGGAAAGGATGTCTTCTCAGAACTGTACCCTAATTATATGGACCTGTTTGGCGGACTTGATCCGTTTATTTTCTCTGTTATACATGTTTGTTATTAACGTTTTTTCTCAAAAGGTCAAAGTTGATCACGGTGCTTTCGTCCGTCCGTTCAAAGACAGCCACAGATGTTTCGTGCTTTTTTCGCAACTGATCAGCATGATCTAGGCTTGGCTTCTGAGTCAACGAAGGGAAGCATATCACCTGTCATCTATCTAGGATATAAAGTATATGGCGCTGTCATATTTCGGTGGGGTCTATACTGTACTTAATCCTTTATGAACTGAAATCTACTTGACGTCATTTTTCAATTGATGCAGTATAAGGACGGCCGCCAGCCTGGGTGATTCCTTCGGCGGGATTTGAACAAATTATCTGTCTAAGCACGAAAAAGAAAAACGTTTTGCAAAATACTCTAACATGATGAAAATATTTGTAGACGTAAAGAATTGTTCAATGCAAGTAACCTATTCAATCCTCAATTACGTCGCGTTAAAACAAATATGTAACATTCGATCTTCGTTTCTTTTCGCTTGTCGCTGCCTGTGCAGGCATTCACGGCCCGACAATGGAAGCGCGAGAGATTAGAATGTGGCGCGCTGGTGTTTGTTCTGACGGGGAGTGAATGAGATTTGAATACGGTTTAGACGTATAATGCATTTTAGTAATATATTTAACTTTGATAAAACCACCTTCTCATTTAATCACTTGCAAAATACATAACGTATTGCAACGTACTTTGGACCTGCTTAATGATCTCGACTATTTTTGCATCATCCATTGCTCTGTATTTTTTTATAATAACATACCATTAATCGACCATAATTATAAACATGTGAAAGGACATGAATAATAATTATATAGTTATTTTTTAAATATACATAGCTTAGAACAGTGACATTAGAACTTACTTATTGATCAAGCAAATTTTTATATAAAAACGAGTATATGTCATTAAAATTTCACAAATTCTTCACAATATTTCAATCAGTCTGTGCAAAGATCTTGTTTAGTCCAAAAATTTGATTTTTTAAGTACTCTTTTAGCTTAGTATATGAGTTCCTCAAGACTGAAATTTCGAACAACTTTCACAGATTATTAATAATAATAAAAACAATAATAATAATAATAATAATAATAATAATGGCGAGAGCCCGATAAATTGTGACGGGCTTACGTTGTTTTAGCTGGAAATAGGGTTAGTGGTATACCGGGTGTTTCAAATTCTACCCTCACCATTGGGATCTCGGAAACGGTAAGAGATACGAAGTGGCTTAAATGGTGACAAAGTTGCTTACTTAGGTAACTAACAAGATGCCGCTTAGAATCTTCCCAAAATCGTTCTAGTTTTTTTTAGACTTTATTTGTCGTGGAATTTCAAAATTAATTGCACATCCTCCTCTACAAGGTGTAAAAATTAGAATTTCAATATGACGTTTTGTCTCTTGTCTCCCAGCATCAACTTTATTTTTTCTAATGGACGCCATATTAGATTTTTGCATGGATCAATTGTGTTTTCAATTCTGATTCCAAAGATTTATAGTATGTCATATATGTACATTGACAAACCTTAGTTATCTAAAAAAAAAAAATAATTTTCTAGGTAGGCCTTGAAATTATCAGATATGTAGTTGTTTCGTATACCGGATTTATTGAAAAATCGTTGTTCACTGCCTGGTTTTATTTGAAATGGGATTTTAAAATAAATTGTATATTAGCGTTGCCACTCGTTCTTCTCTATAAGGGCGCATAGAAAAATTCTCGATTAGACGTTTCTGCATTCGATATCCACCCTCAAATTTGTTTTTTTTTTCTTATGGACTCCGTATTGAAATTTTGCGCAATCGAACACACTTATTGATTCTGCATTTAGTTGTGCAGAAAAATACATTTATTCATCTCACGATAAACTTTACGTATTTCATTAAAGTAATATCATTCTTAGTAGTATTTAAATGTGCGAAATTCCAATACAGCGCCCTATATGAAAAAACAAAGTTGGTGATCGGAGTCAGAAGAAGAAACCTGGAATTGAAAATTTCAATACGCCATCTTCTAACAAACAACAATTTATTTCGAAATCGCATCTCAAATACAGTTAGCAATAAATGAAAATGATTTTCTTATAATTCTGGTATACAAAACAAATCACTATCCGATAATTTCAAGGCCTACCTAGCAAATTGTTTTTTTGAAATAACTAAGGCCCGTATCGTCAGTCGTCCCTACAACTGTAGGGCGCCTTTACGGCCTCCTTGATTGTCATAGTTTTCTGCTTCTCCGTGTCAGAACTCTATTTTGAGGTTATGTCACAAACATCTATTTGCACCAAATTGTGCTTGCTTTTGAGTTATATCATGTTTTATCAGCCTGAAATTTCCTACAACTTAAAAAGAAAACATATCTTCACAATAGCGCTGACGCTGACACGGGACGGGTGCAATCTAGAAATGTTTGAAGGAGAGAAAGGAGTATGACAATCAAGGAGGCCATAAACGTGCCCTACAATTGCAGGGACGACTGACGATACGGGCCTAAGGGCCATATCGTCAGTCGTTCCTATAATTTTAGGACGCCTTTATGGCCTCCTTGATTTTCATAATCGTTCCTCTCCTTCAGAAAGGCTGGGATATTTCCAGATTTTTAATGTTCCGTGTCAGCGTCAGCGCTATCCTATTGTCAAGCTATATTTCCTTCTTGAATTGTAGGAAATTTCAGGCTGTATAACAGAGATAAAATAGAGCGCTGACAAGTAACAGTAGAACACTATGAAAATCAAGGAGGCCATAAAGACGTCCTACAATTGTAGGAACGACTGACGATTCGGCCCTAAGATTTGGCAAAATAAATGAAACGCCATTTTTGGAATCAGAATTAAAGACTCTATTCATCTGCGCAAAAATCCAATTCCACTAGAAAGAAAGTCAGAAAAACTTAAACGATTTTGGGAAAATTCTGTTTTTTCTGTCTCTCTCCGGAAGTACTTTGTCTTTTGTAACTTTCTATGGCATTTTGTTAGTTACCTAAATACGTAATGATAAGCGCCGAATTTGAGACACCCGGTATAGCTTGAACAAAAGAATCATATTAATTATACTTTTTATTACTCATCAACATGTTTTAATTTTGCACGTTTTGATATTTTTAATGATAGGGGAAACCCGGGAAAAGTGTACACTTGGGAATGTTGAATTTCCCGTTTCACATCCAAACTATGAATCGACCATCATGAAAAAACGATAATTCGCTCAACTTTCTTCAATAATCTTGTTTATGTGACTACTAAGCATCAAAACGTTTGTTTTTTTTTGGTACAAAAAATTGAAGATGCAAGATACGTGTTCCGCGTGTAATTATGATCAGCTACTTAAAATACTTAGCGTAGATTTAAAGAACCTTCTCGGTCATATAAATCAGAAGAATTGAATTTAATGGTTTTGGAAGAAACAAGAAAACTCTTAAGCAAGTGATTTCGGACAAAACGGATAAGTAGTCGTATTTTGGTAGTTAGTGAATTCAAAATTGATATTTTGGTTGATACAATTAATAAGAAAAACGTTTCAACAAAAATCAACCCCCCTCCCCGAGAGAAAGAAATTTAAAGGATTCAAATCCGACAATGTAGGTGGCCATGAGCATTTGTGGGTCTGATAAATGATTATTGTCAAATTCCTGACGATACGCCTGCACCTACTGAATTTCATCAAATTTTAATAAAACGGCTGTAATGATTTTTTTACGATATAACGGATTTTCAAAAATGTTTGATACCCAGTATGTAGTAGTGATGAGACTGATTTTTTAATTTTTATTCAAATATAATTACAATTTTATATTATCACCATCAAATTAACTTTCTTCTGAAGCCACACAACGTCGGAAACGGTTCTTCCACTCCTCATAGCAGTGCTGGAACGCGGATACTTGATTAGCTTTCAGTTGGTTGGTTACAACCGTTTGAATGTGTTCGAATGTACCAAAATGAGTTCCCCTGAGGTGATTTTTCAACTTCGGGCAGAGAAAAAAGTCCCAAGGATTCAAGTCATGTGAATAAGGAGGCTGAGGAGCCACAGGAATGTTTTTACTGGCTGAAAAAATCGTATTGGCATTGCTGTGCATTATCGTGATGCAACACGCAGTTGTTCTTGATCTGGTAAACGGTGGTGTGAGTCAAATTTAACTCTTCCCCGATCATTCTGACCGATGATCTGAAAGCACAAGATCCCGGATTCTGTCGATATTTTCATCGGTTCCTGAAGGTGAAGGCCGTCCGTTTCGTGGTTCATCTTCAATCGATTCTCTCCCTTCTGAAAATGCCTTAAATCACCGAAAAATCTGGGCTCTTCACGAAACACTATCTCCATAGGCCTACTTAGCAAGTGTTTCCATTGCACTGTGAACAAGTCTGAAGCAAAACCTGATAGCACACCGCAGCTCGAAGTTGATGTCACTCATTTTTAGAACTTAATAGGAAAAACTGTTTGACAACCAAATGACTCGATTGAGTTCAAACTTGTACTGAAGGCGGATCACATGTTCCCCTGTCTCCCACACCAAGCCCGGTGTTGCCAGATCAAACGTTACGTTGCCAATCTGATTACTTAATTTACAGACCTTTTATACTGGAAACAACTAAACGACGCATTGTGGACTCTAAATTTATATATTTTTTCTTCATAAAATTATACCCAAATACTTTTCCCCTGAATTTTGTCCATATACTTTGTTAACATCTCGTCTATTATTTTGTAGGAGTAGATGACATGTTTGTGATAATGGCGTGTTGGGAAGAGCTCACAGAGGAAGACAAGAAACTTCCAATACACGAGAAAGTTGGAATGATGCTCAAACACGCAGGCGTGTCTATATCAATAACGTCATTAACAGATGTGATAGCTTTTCTTATTGGTGCTTCAACAGTAAGTGTATAAATTTTCATGCTTAAAACCTACTGCATTTTGCTTTTTGTTGACTATGTCCTTTAGAAAAACCAGCCAAAAACATTTTGAAGCATAACATTGCTCGCTTGAGGTTCAGGCGAGACTTAGGTGAATGGAGTCCAAGCACCCGTTTTATCCAGGATGCGAGTTTCAAAGATTCAGAGGTTTTTGTAAATTCTGTAGACAGGGTGTTCAAAAAGTATGGATATCTAAAATATATCGAAGGATGCGTTTCCTAGAGAAAAATATAGTACCATGTTGTAAGCTTTGAAAACTGTCGTTTAATGGTAACCTTGAATGTGACTTTATGTATGACCTTCAAAATCATTTGTAGGTCCAGATAGCTTTCTTAAATGGATACCCCTACTTTGACAATGGTAATGTAAAGAACGAGAAATTCTACGTTCAAGCAAGTTCCTATCCATGACCTTGACTATGATCTTCAAGATCATTTTAAGCCAACCAAAAGGTATTGAGACAATAAAATATCTTGAAAGCTGTGCTGCCTAGAAAAAAATGTTGCGGAACAAAGTTACAAGTCTTTAGGCAGCAGCGGTGGCCGCAGTAGTAGACTCTTCGGTCTCCTGATCAGTCGCCGTGCGCTGTGCCGGTTCCAATCCCGTCCCAGGAGACATTTTTCTCGGTACCCAATGGGTGCTTAGGCCTTAGGCCTTCATAGTATATATAATAATGGAGTATAAAATAAAATAAAATATAAAGGTACGTGATCTTAACCATGACATTAAAGGTTTTACGATGATCGAGGATTTAGCGGAACCTGAAATTACTGTTCTGGAAGCAATAATAGGAGTATCCCGTTGAAACAACTATATGACCTTGAAGATCATAGTTGTCAGGTTCAAGGTGTGCATTAGATTACCCTTTTCAAGCTGTCACAACATGTTTCCCTAGGAAACGTATTTTTCTAGATATTTTGAGGTACCCATATTTTTGGACACCCCTTATCGATATACAAAATGTGAGAAATCGGGATAGAATATCGCCCGGGGCCCGTGGGTTCGAAGCCCCTTCACGTAGTCAGATCAAGCCTCAAAAGAAATGACATATTTCTCTCAGGTATCGTTGGTAGATCAGACAAGAAACCGTTCATTCAACATTATGGTGAATGTGTAGCCTTGCCAAAGATGCGAATTCACCAGAATTTTGAAAAAGATCTAGAATCGATATTTCTTCAATAAATACGAACCCGTATGAACCTTTTTCCAACTTTCAATTTGTAAGAATACATGGTGGTTTTTACGAGAGGATACGTGTTTGTCCTTGAAAGAATTTGGGGAGCGCAGTTTTCTTGTTTTCTTATGGAAAATACCTTTTGGGTAAATTAGCTGAAATTCTGCATAGGAGTAGTTTTAAACATGGTGATCAACAGTTTCAATGTGGCTAACCCCCAGAAATTCCTGCACGACCTCCTACCGCACCCGAAACTAGAATCCAAGTAGGGGTTATTGATAGCTATGGGAGGACAACATAGGTTTTAAAGTAATATTATCAGCGAAACAGTAAAGCATAGTGTTGTTAGGATATTTTTTAGACTGGCCACTGGTGATCATGGATTGACCTTGACGGTGCCTTGGAGGTTATGGTCAAGGTCAGTAAATTTTTAAAAGCAGTTCATCCTACTTTCATGGACAACGCAAAAAATCTATTTTTATTTAGTCATTGAGCAGGTCGAAAATGCAACATTTGAAAGTTATGGTCAGGAAGTACAGCCCCTCCCTACCCGACTTCCTGTAGAAAGCAGAAGCCCCCCAATTAGGGTGTATTGATCGATGTAGGATATTATTATAACTTGTAATGTTCACAAAGAAGGAGTGACACATACTGTTGTTAAGATTTAGGGCCGTATCATCAGTCGTTTCTACAATTGTAGGACGCCTTTATGGCCTCCTTGATTTGAACAGTTTTTCCTGTCCCTCAAAATAGAGCGCTGACACGGAGCAGTAGAAAGCTATGAAAATCAAGGAGGCCATAAGGGCGTCTTACAATAATTGTAGGAACGACTGACGATACGGTCCTTAGTGTATTTTCTGAAAAGTTACCACACTAAAAAATGATTTAATTTTGACCATAATCACTGTCAAGGTGAAATATAACCACTGGCCACTCTGAGAGAAATCCTAACAACAGCATATTTTACTTCTTTTTGATAATCTCACTTGAAAACTTATGTTGTGCTCCCATATCTATCAATAACCCCTACTTCTAGGTTCCGTAGGAGATCGGGGAGGAGCGCCTGGTCCCATTAAGGTTTTTGATGACCGTGTTATGCAGATTTTCAACCAATTTAGCTGAAAACCATTTTTCATAAGAAAACTGTGGGGTTCTTTGAGGTAGTCGATGCAGAGGGCTTCAAAAATGAATTTGGGCCTCTTACAGGACCAAAACTCTCCTATTATTTTTTTTTTCAGATCTTGCCCTGTCTAGAATCGTTCTGCATATACGCAGCAGTATGTGTCTTTACGATTTTTTTATTCGCCATAACATTTTTTGTCGCCTGTTTCGTGCTAGACGAACATAGGATAGCGAAAAAAAGAAATGGTGTCTTACCATGGATTGTGTTACCAGACGATTATAAGCCAAACGAGTGTAGTCAGAGAAACATCTCGAACAATATCTTCAGGGTGCTATATTCGAAAGTTGTTCTTACCACCCCTGGAAAGGTAAGCACTCTTCGAGAACATTTTGATTCAGGTGAGGGGCGGACTTAGGAGAACATTTGTGGGAGGGGGACAAGGAAAATACTTGGATTTGTGATTATGTGTCGGTGAGACACAATTTTATTAAAAATGCAAATAAAAGCGGCATGAGACAATCATTCGACGTTCCCCATTTTACAACATATTTCTAACACTTTTTCCAATGTAACATCAATGTCATAATTTACATTGAGAAGAGCTAACTCATTGAGTTTATTCTTAAGTATTGTACTAGTTTTGATTCGATGCAAAGAATAATTGACATTTTTAGCACTAGTGATCGTGGCTGACATAAAAAAGCACAAGTGTAAAAAATAGAAATACCTGTGTTAGACTAATCACTGGCTTCTCTCTAACTTTCTCTCTTCTACTGCTATGTCTATGGACTTTTCTCCTCGCAGCTCACAACGCACTTCGGCTTCCTATCCTAACCGTGTCGAACGTAGTACATCCAGAACTGAGGAGGCTGTTCCTAGTTCTACTAACCTCAGATGATTCACAAATCGGATTAACAAATTGTCTTTAAGCATTCTTATAGCAGCTGCGCACAGTGATTTCTCCATAGGCCAAAAATACCAAAAACTCATAAATTTATAACGGTCTAAATGAGTCGCTAAGTTATCGAGAAGGCGCGAGGCTTTCAAAAAAAAATGAAAAACAATGCAATTAGTTCAAACTGTCATTTACTTTCGTCCATCGCAAGTGACAGCTTCTCGAATTACCGGGACGTGTAAGTCATTGCAACTTACTTTTTTTTGTGAATTATAATTTCAAGCCTAGTGTTTTTACGTAGTAATAATATGGAGGTGCAAGAATATGGTATGTACTCTTATTATTTACCTATTTTATGTAAAAGCATGCGTTTTGGAGTTTTACATAAATTTTTTATTGAACGTTTTTTGCTAGATTTTTTCCTACAAAATTTATTCATTTCGAGTTATAAACTTTTGGCTGCGCTTTGCTGCAGCTGAGATAAATGTTATTTTCAAGTAGATAATTAGGGGAATATAGGTTTCATCTGCATCTTGCTGCCCCTCGTGCCTGTCAGATAACATCGAAAATGTTGATTTAGGGAGATTAAGTGATAGAATTAGAAATTTATGTAAACGAATTTCATATTATTGGGTAAAGTCGAATGGCTCTAAATCTAAATTGGTAGAAAAGTATCCAGATTGGCTTGATTTCGCGTTTACAAAAGTTACCTGTTAAAAAAAGACATATTGTCAAAATCTGTGTTGGATTTGTTAACTGTTTCCATTATAATGTATTATAAGTATTAGAATTTTTTTCAATATATCTTGCTTGCACGTATTATGAACTGTTTTATTTCATTCCTTTAATATAAGGTAGAACTGAAACAATATCTAAAGTAAAAATACCGAGAAATATTTTTAGTATCAATCACTGTGCTGCGGTGCCTCAATATTTATGCTTCTGTCTACTCGGCTGCTTCGGTATGAAAAAAAGGCGAAATCGGGTTAAAGTCGAGCTGCTGTCATTTTGCTTTTTGTCAGAACCGTGTTTAGGCTATTAAGTATGTGAATGGTCTTTGTTTTTCAGATAATTGTGATATTGATAAGTATTACCTGCGCTGCCTTTGCTACTCATAGCGCTCTAAAACTAGAGCAGAAATTTGATCCAAAGTGGTTTCTACCTCCAGGCACTCATTTAGCCGAATATCTAAAATCTAAGTACCAGCACTACCCAGAAAGCGGGTTTAATGCAGGGTTATACATGGGTGCCCTAAATTATACTGAAGAGATACCGAAAATTAGAAATGCCGTTGACAGATTGAAGAATATGACAGATGTGACAGCTGAAGTTGTATCGTGGGTGGATCCCTTTAGAGACTTTGTGCATATCAATTTCGGACCAGGTAATGTTAATTATTGGATTAGTGCCATCGAGACTAGAGATATGTCGTTAAACACATAGAGTGGGGTGAAGCCGAAAGTGACGATGATGAAGGTGGGCTCTATCTCTGTATGCATTGGGCAAAAGATTAATTTCAGGATCTGTGCATGTGGCCCCAGTGAACAAAATCAGTTGCTATGCGTGTTCTAAGAATGCAATACCATGTTCTGAACATGCGCGTAAATAACATACCGCACATCAATAGAATGTGGTGAAATCAGAAACGGACGTGACGTCCTTCAAACGAAAGTTGAAAAGGCTGCTGATCGATCAGTGTTTTTATAGTGTTGTAGAGTTTTTCTCTTGTAGCCATTTTTAATGTTTTAACTGAGTTTTATTGTTATTTATTGTTATTTTTCCCTAGTTTTAAATTTATTGACAATTCCTTTTTGTTTTTTACAAGATCGACAGAAAAAATAAAGAATTTAGCATTTAGTGCTAATAATATATTACAAACCCCTATGAGGTGTAGATATAACACGTTCTGAAACGAGACACAGCATGAATATTCGCATTAGATGATTTGACAAAGCCCTGTGGCATATCCAACAAAAGTATGTTCTAAGAATGTGGTCTTCAAGATCTTCACACGTTCTGAGAATATTCTCATCAGGTGATCTGGCAGAGTCTTCCCAGAGACCACACATACATCCAGCGGTGCCTATTATATATCCTCGGTGGATATCCAGGATATTCACAGGGTAGTCAGGTACATCCAAGGGATATCCATTTGGATATCCAGATGTCCACCTATATCCAAGTATCTTGATACTACAAGTCAGATGTTATGTTTTTCATATGCACAACGGATATCCGCTGAATCTAAAGTAAAGTATCTAATGGTTCGACATAGAAGCATCTAGTGGCTGCTATAGGTATATCCAGATTACACACATAGGCGTTCAAACCACTCAACAAGTCCAACTGCAAATCGAGAAAGGATAACTGAAAACATAACAAAGCAAATTGACCATGTATGCAAAGTCAAGGACCCCTTCGATCGTATTCTAAATGACTATTTCTTGTTTCCATTGTTCTATCCATATACTTCCTACGTCTCTCCATAATGATCAGCTGCATGTATGGATATTCCTTATATGACTATGCTACGAAGATTTCCGATCTAAATTGCATATTCTTAGAATGTTGGTCAGGAGGATATGCTTTAAAGGGGATGCTCACATAAATTTGAGCTGAGAACATGCTTTATTAGGATAGCTATCATTAGGATATCAGGCAGCAGCGGTGGCCGCAGTAGTAGACTCTTCGGTCTCCTGATCAGTCGCCGTGCGTTTTCAACAACTTACGGGAAATCACCACTGCGCTCGCGATGTGTGTAATTACTGTCAGCATGTAAATAACTTGTAATTCGACAGTGTACAGTGAATATAATTATTTCTCATCTCTCTCATTTTTGAAATTCAGCAAATTTGCATACGTAATTTCCAGAATGGATAAGAAAAAGTGGATGTGCAACTAATTTCTTGATTTGAATCTCAAGTAAGTGTATTTGAGACAAGAATCCAATGAAATTATCATCAACACATATTATTAGCACATATATGCATTGCCGTTACCTCCAGTAATGCCATCTCTGGGGCAGATTTTACGTCATATCAGAGCCAAACATTGATAACTGAAGCCTCATGACGTTTAGGCAACACGTACAACTACAAAACGAGTTCTTAACGGTAGCTAGTGCTAAGTTAACTTCTTGTAAAAACCTACATAATGTCACAAAAAACCAATATAATGTCAAAAAAATCGACATATTGTCGAGTTGACATTCGAGCAAAAAACAGAATATTTGATTGCAATGTAGCTAGGAATAACCAGTCAATGTCTCTTGATGAAACCATAAAACTATTAGGTGCATTAGATAAATATATAAATCCGCAGAAGCTCTACGCATATTAGACTTCCAAGAGCCACGCTATTCTTACCGACCGTATTGGTTTCATACGAATACGTGTCTTCCTTTAGGTATTTTAACATCCTATCTCTAGTTTAGATGGTTATTACATTAAACTCGACAAATAAAAAATATATCGCAATGTTTCAATTCCTATAGTAAGTTCTATTGATATTCATTATTTTTGACAGATATTTATACCGAGACTTTGGACGAAGATAGATTCAGAATATTTCTATCAAAATTTCTGAATAGTCCGAGACATGCCAAATATCAAGGAAACTTTGTATTTAATAAGGAATTGGAATGTGGCGTTCCTGTTCCAAAAATTAAGGTAATTCTCACTCACTAGCCCTTTTTAGTAATTTTGTAAATTCAAATAGCGGAGCCATTAAAATTAGGAAGCGAAATTAGTTGCAGAATGTTGGAGAAAAAATAAAATTCATATTCAGCACATTGAAGCATGTGATGAGCTTTGTAGCTCTTATGTTTGCAAAAAAACAAAGGTTTACAATGTCATTCGCGTAGAATGATCGTATTTCCATGATTAAAATTGAATAGTAATGTAGTGTCGAACTTGCTTGCGCTAACATATAATTTCAAGGTATACATATAATAAGTCCGGGACTATTAAATAATGTTAAAAAATGATATGAAGCATTTGGACGTTTTTGAATAAATTGTTTAATTTCAGTTATCTGTGATAGATTTTAACTTCCATAGATTTGAGAATCCGAGAGATCAGATACCGGCAATGCACAAAGTTAGAAATGTGGCAGAAAGGGCCAATTTTACTACGGGTGACAGAGAAGTTATAGTCTGGACAAAGTATTTTGCAAACTGGGTTACAGATGAGGTAGGTGATCAATATATCACTATCATTTTATTTGTTTATTTAAGTTTTGTAATTACGAAAAATTTCGAAAATTACATGTTTTTTGGATGTAAATGCTCACTAATACTTTGATGAGATTTTGATACGAGATTACTACTACTGATCCAAGGACGAAAAATTTTGAAAATTAATCCAGTGGCGGCGTAGCTACTCGAAAATATCAAATAAAATAAAAAAATCTGAATCTTCGTTTTTTGACGTATCGAAACTTTTTGTTTGGATTGAAAATTGGGTCTTACGGATGGTAGAGGTTTGTAAATGCTGCAGCAAAGGACGTTCTATTATTAAAAAGTGTCTAGTTTCAATAATATAACGCACCTGTTGTATATAACGTGCACACAAGTATTGGACTTACATTTGCCATGGAAACAGAAATATGATTATGGCTTTAGTATTATTTCCTATAGTTTGAGATGTAGAATAGTTTAGTTTTACGATATATTATACTCAAGTGAACATACGAGTACCTTTTCAAACATAAGTATTTGCTTCACGACAAAATAAACATGAGCACTGGAACGACGTCTTTATTCGCTTGTCTCTGTCTGTCAAAGGATTTATATGGCCCGCTGGCCAATAGGCCAATAGAAGTGCGCGAATTTGAACACCTCGCGCTGGTATTTATTTTGACTGAGACTAAATGAGATTTGAATGCACAATAGTTAGGTTTTGATTTTATTCGAGCACTTTAAATAGACTTCATCCATTCTTTTTACTGTTATACATAGGCGTGATAAACTTTTTTTAAGGGTTTGTCACAGCTTTGGTTTAGCAGTTACTATTACAACAGGTTATGTAAACAAAAAAGTTGCATCAAATAAGCTGACTCTGCACTTTCTACGTAACGCTGTTATCATTTCGTTAAATAATTATATTTGAGACAAGTTATTTCCTCTTAGAAAAGGTTTGGTTACGATAATGTATAACAAGGGAATTAATTGGACCATATCAGTCAAACAGGCTCATACAATTAGTCCATAGTCCCGACAGATTTGACAACATTGCTATCTATCTAGCATATTTTTATATTTTTTTAAAACTATTTTTTTTTCTCATCATTCTAACTTCTGTGAAAATTTCATCAAAATGCGAGCGGTACTTTCCAGGTTATCGACAGGCCAAGGATTAGCCGACAGACAGACCGACTGAAATGAGTGAAGTGGTTTTTCGTGATGTACATAAGTATACATGTCGTATAACATCCAAAAAACATATATCATTTTCAATGTCTTCAACGATTACAATATGTCAAGTATGTCATTGCTGTGGTCGACAGAATTGCATTGGAAGTAGAGTGAACCTACTTGACGCATTTTTTTCAGTTGATCGATACAGAAGTCATACGTAATCTACAGCTAGCTCTTCTCTGTGTGATGCTGTGCACTATAATTCTCATAGCAGATTGGCAGACATGTTTTTGGATATTTGTCTGTGTTCTTATAACTATGGTTGACGTCATGGGATATATGCAGCGATGGGGACTCACCATAGATGTGGTAAGTCATTCTGTTTTTTAATAAATCATTGACATATTCATATACACGGTGTTAGGGAAATCATATTCGTAACTTTAAGATGTGATTCCTTGCATCATCCTAAGCAAGAAAGTTTATTATAACCGAAAATCAACCGTTTCGGAGCAAAGAAATGCTGAACTTAGGTATTTCTTTTTAGTCATGAAATAAATTAATTTTGCACCTTGATAATTTAAATTTCCTGATAGCGTAAAATGTATTTTTTCTTTTTTCGTGCATCGCATCGTTTCAAATAAGTGACTGATAATCGTGGGAATTGGTGGTGTGTATCGCCACGTACCGGTAAGTTTTGTCATTTTTTTTTAAAGTAAATGTACTGTACAGAAAGCGTTATTGAATAAAAAATATTAGCCACAAAAATTGCGTAAAAGTATTCAATAATTCAAGGCATATTTTCAACAAAAATATCATACAAACTACAAACGTAAATAATTCGATGAATTAGTTGCGGTCGTCGTGGGCTCGTATCGCGGTTGCGTTGCAGCGTTGCCAAATGTTTAAGGATTGATTTTAGGACATAAGCTATAATGAACTTTTTTGCTTAGAATAATGCAAGGAATCCCCTCTTAAAGTTACGAATATTATTTCCCTAACACCCTGTATTTTTAACACGCTTTTGATTAACTTGGTACTTGTATGTTAGTATGGAACAAATCTTGGAACATAATTCTAAACCAGTTGACTTGATAATAGATGAAATTTCGTACACAAGTTTGGTATGTGTGACGGTACAAAACAAACTAACTGCGGCCATTTTGAAGCCAATATGACGGATGCTACAAAATGGCGACTTACCATTTTCATAGAAGCCCCTATGAAATGGGGATTAAATGAGATGGTTTGATGAGAGAAACGCAATAAGCAAGGTGACGTCATTCTAAATCCAATATGGAGGCCGCCGCAAAATGACGATTTATAATTTGTATACTCACCCCCAATGATATGGGTATCAAATGAAAAGGCTTGATAAGCGAAATGTTATTAGCAAAGTGACATAATTTTAAATCCAATACAATGGCCGCCGCAAAATGTCAATTTATATTTTCAT